GTTACAAAAATGCACACCCATATGGCAACAGGACTTTAAAACAATTAGAACAAAGGAGGCATGGGAAAAATAAAAAAGGAGGTAAATATTAATATGTGCAATCTGCAGACTTCAGAAAGTGAGGCACAAGGAGATAAAATTATTCCTACTTCATTGTTTTCCCCATTCAGCGCCCTACATACACGAACCATTTGAGTGGAAGATGAACGCCAGTAGCCTTTCAGAAAGTCAGGAGATTAATACTCATCTTTACGCTTCCACTTTTTTCCTTAGAAGCCCAACTGCATAATTTCCCAAGCCAGTCATTTATTCAGCAGGTGCTTCCTAGTACTTCCCGTGTCCCCAGCATGGCCCGTGGCCCTGCCCACACCCTATGGCAAAGCTAATCCTCAGGCGCAGGGGACGCGCCTGCTCCGCTTTCTCTTCAAGCCCTCATCGGGTTCCAGCACCAACACAGGACAACTTGAACGTGGGTATTTTTGCCTCCCAAAGTTTCCCAGCCATCACGTTTAAAATGGCAATACTCTAAAAATAGTGTTATTCACAGAGAATAACTCTCTCTGTTCCAAGGAAGTACACACAGAAAAAATATGAGACATTTCCTAGTGTGTAGCCTGCCTTGAACTCCCTCAGCAAGGAAAATAGTCGCCCTTCATAAATAACTCCAATCTTACTGTCCTGATTCAAAGAACAGTCCAGAGCCAATAATACCAAAAAAGAGTGCTTTCGCTGACGGTTATTTCACCTTTTTCAGAAGTTTCCTTCACCCTCTACATAAAAGCTAAATAAATCTCAGACATAACACAGAGGAGGGCAATGGGGGTGGGAGTGGGGGTGACGGGGAAAGAGGCAGTTTGCAGGGACCAGCGATGACAGAGCAGCATGATTAGCAGGACGTGATTATCTGCCCCACTGTAACCAGGCAATAGGTGTGTGATTAGCTGGTGGCTGAGTGCTATGGCTAGTTTTTTATTATTATTTTATGCTTTTATGTATTTTCAGATGAGTATGTGTTATCTTCATATTTAATAAATAAAGCATAGTATAACACATTTTTGTAGTTACATTTATACGGGTTTAATTTAAATACAAAAAAAGTCACCCTTTTAATGCTATAGATTGATGAGGTTTGATAAATATGTACAGGACTCCTTAGACTTTTAAGTGACTTGCTTAAACCAGATCTTCCGTTCTAGATCCAATCTTCCCACTACATCAAAACACTGTTAAAATTACCCCATAACTTTCATTCATTTCTGCTTGTATTTCATAATACATTATACCATTTTTTGCCTTGAAACATTAATTACGATAATAAAAGCCTCCACAGAACTCCATGTGGGAGGACATCATTAGGCATGTCCTTTATTATGTGAAACAATAGAACTGAGTGAAAATAATTTGGGGCAGTCAAAAAAGCAGAGACCAGACAGGAAATCAGGACACCATGATCCTGACGATTGCTTTAGTAAATTTTAATGACTAGACTTTTTTACAGCTATCATTTGCCCCATCTTAAAAGTATAGGAAGCCAAGACTTCATACATTTAAAATTACGCCATTCTGGAAGAAACAGTAATTTCCAACTCTCTCCCGGTTTCCTCCCTTCCACCTGCCATGGATTGTTTCCATGCTCCAGGGGAGTTTGAGGAGAAATTAGGAGCAGAGACGACCAACTAGACAGTCACGTACGACAAAAGAAATGTTGGAGCATAAGAAAAACGAGCTGCTGGTGTCCAAATGACACAACACGGCGAGTCTGGGCCCAGGAAGATGGATATGATATGAGGTCAGCCGCCCAGACAACGGATGATATTCCTACAGCTGTTAGGGCATTGTCCCTAACTAGACTGGCAACAGCTTGTAGTCTAGCTTAGAAATCAGATCTCCCTCACCCCAAATAAATTAATTAACACACCCTCCCCCCTGAATTAAATAGCCCTGTCTGCCTGCCCAGCTCCTGTCAACATTCTGTCCTCCTAATGCTTGTGCCTTCTCTGAGCTTTCCAACTGCCCTCAGTGCTGCCAAGCAGGCAGTTCCTGTTCTTTCATTCAGTTTTATCATGTCAGGAGATTGCAATCAAGCCTTAATAACATTCTGCAGCCCATGGAGACATTAGCCGTCCCTAAAGCCCAGCTAACGGGCATTTGTTCAAAAGATCAAAGTCTGCGCAGGCTCGGCCAGCACAGTACACACACGCCAAAGGAGTATCGATTAGGAGGCACAGAAAATGGCCTAGCACTTTTCATTGTATCTCTTCATCAGGTTCTTATTCTAAACAGAAATATGTAAAGATCATCAAGTGATGTTTTGTCATCTAGAGGATGACCAAGGGCAACTGAGACTAGACTCCTGAGGAGCATTTCCTACTAAGCTGTCCAGGTGGCACTCAACCCATAAAATTATGAGAGTAAGATTCAGCACTTTTCTCAGTGCTTTCCAATGGTTCTCACATCAAGTCATAAAAATGGGATCTGAAGAAGCTGATTTTGCAAAATGATCCTCCAAGTAACTTCTCAGTGAGAGAAAATTTGAATTTTCCATCAGATGATGATACTGGCAGCCAAACAGGTCACATATTCCATCAGTAATTATTTGTAAACTCAGACATTTATTATCTGAAGCATAGCTAGTTCTGGATATGTACTATACAGCAAAGCACATTCGAACTTCAAAAATTAAACAAGTGCACAAGTTTAAAGTTTGATGCCCAAAGATCTACTTGTATTGCAGGAAAATATATAAAGATGTCAACCTCTCACGGGTTCTCACTGCTTTGGGAAACTGTGAGCAAAGCCCTCCCCTCCGTTTTCCAATCACCAAATGAGCCCTCATAATTCTTATATTATCATAGAGAAGCATACCCCAAAATAATATTTCAATTGATTTAGAACCTTTCTAGACAACATGTGGTCCTCAGACCATTAGTATAACATGACCTGAGAGCATGTCAGGAATGCAGACCTCCAGACCCCAACCAGAGTTAATGAATCAGAATCTGATTGTTAACGAGATCCCTGGGGAATTCCTGTGAACATCAAGGTTTGAGAAGTGCTAGTTTACAAGTAAAACAGAATTTTTAAAACACTTATATGGAATATTCCTTAGAGCTAAACATTATGGAATAAATCCATGCCTGCTAAACTAGATGTTTATTGAACCTCAGCTCAAAAAATACCCATTTTTAAAGCTAATGTAGATTTGCAGGGATAAACTATGTGGATTAACCCAATGAGAAGGAAAAAACTCTTCGTAACTACTCGAGAGAGATAAACAAGGCATTCATTGGGCTTTTAGGGTGACTAGTAGTCCCGGTTTACCAGAGGTGGGCGAGGTTCCCGGCACGAGGGGCTTTCAGTACCAAAACGAGGACAGTTCTGGACAGAAAGGGATGGCTGTCTTTGGGATCTCTCCAAACATTTACTTTCTTACAAATCATTAGGGATGATTCCTTTTCTTATATGTGCCCATAATCTTTTTTATTGTTTTACAGGTTATAACCAATCCTCACATTACCAAAGATCAAAACAAGTTTTACTTTAGAACCAATACCACCATTTATTGGATTTATTTCCTACTGGAGCCCAGGGAAGCATGGAAACAGGGCATCACCAACCTCTAGTGGCATGGGGACAGCTTAGGACAGCTCTGGACAGCTTGGGAAGAGGAAAGGCAGACTCCACTATTGGGACAGGCTATAAGGATCCTGAGTGAGCACAAAGATGCCAGGAGAGGGGGGAGGGAGCATGAAAATAAACTTCTCTAGCGTCTCAATTTATTTACAGCCAACTCTAGTGCCTGTACCAATGTGCCTACTGTCCCCTGTCCCCTCCTTAAAGAGTGTGTGCAGAACCCACCCCTGGCTCCAGCTTGATCAATCAGCTTGTCTCTGGGCAACTTCTAACTGGATGTAGTGATTCTCATCAGTCTTTGTGGGCACTGGAATACAGGAGCATTCTCACTGATAATTTTTCACCCCATTCAGGGAGAAACTAAGAAACTGTAAAGACAGGGAAAGAGAAGATACGGATATCCTGAACAAAAAAAACAGAAGCAGAGCTTGGGGTGGGTGGGGCAGCAGCAGGACAGGGAGATGGGGAGACATTTCTTGGTTCCTGGTCTCATTCCTATGACAGTTCCAGTCTCGATTCAGGAGAATGCAGTTTCCCAGCCTACTTGGCTCCACACATCTGTTGAGGAGCTTGGGATTTAAGGAACCCTATTGGGAAACTGTGCCAGTGTCCTGCGTCCGGCAGGCCTGTTTCACATCTGGACCACGGCAATGTCCTTGCAGGTCATCTTATCTGGACTCCCTGTGTGATTATTTTGCCCATTTCCCTTCTTGATTTTCAACCCCACAGGGCCTTCTTAGTGTCCACAAGCTTTGGTACTAGGGTCTCACCCTCTGCTCCAAATGTCCCAGCTCTGGGTCAGTAGCGCTCTACAGGATCAGGGGATTTCATAGGCTTACAAATCCCTCTGCACCTGTGTGTTCTCACCTGCAAGCTCTCCAAAGAAAGAACCAATTAATCTACTGGAGACAGGGTCCAGCAGGCAGTGAGGCACAGCAGCTGAAGGATAGCGAACCCAGGAGCCAACTCTCAAGTATTTAAATACCAGCTCTGAGTCAATATGTGTGACTTATTTTTTTGTTTTGTTTTTTAATTTCCTGAACTATGCTTTCTCTGCCTGTAAAAGATGAGGTCTAACCATATAAAAATGTCATTGCTGTATGTTTAAAATGATAACGCATCAGTAAACTTCATAGGAGTGAACTCAGAAGTAGACCTGAATGAGGATTTGAGTTTTTAACAGTTAATGTTTTTAAGTGTCTGTCAAAAGTACCCCCCAGTGATTAAGAGCCATTAACCTCATGGTGTGGCTATCAGCACCCAGCACAGTATCTTCAGCCCTTTGTCCTTGATGAGCAGGAGGAGCTAAGGTGGCCTAAGTGCTCCAGCCTCCCCAGGCTGCTGGGCTCCTAGCTTCCGCAACCCGCATCCCGCATCCCGCATCCCGAATTCCGAATCCTGCATCCCGAATCCCGAATCCTGCATCCTGCATCCCGCATCCCAAATCCTGCATCCCGCATCCCGCATCCCGCATCCCGCATCCCGCAGCGCAGTTTCCTGACAGAACTTGGTCTTACTGAGCAAGACACATGGAAAACAGGTGGCAGCAGGAAAGCAGCTGCAGGTCGCTCAGTAGACGGAGGCAGCCGACAGCAGCAGTGAGAGCCCGAGCTCTTAGGGGACACCTGGAAGTGGAGCCTCGTGTGTGAGGAACGGGGGTGCCCATTGAAGAGGGGCAGCACAGTATTCTACAGCAGCCATCGGGCTTCGGGTGAGCCAAGTCTCCAGACAGAAAGGGCTTCTCAAAACACAGCCACAAATTCAGTCCAGACCAAGGCGGAGAAAGTAGCTGTCTTGCTGCCTGGGGGTTTCCGGCTCTTGGCTCTTCGTGAGGCCTGGCACAATGCCCTGCCATGCACACCGCTAGTGAACCCGCCTGGTTACTAAACCTGCTTTGAACAGCTTTATGTTGCTTACAGCGAATAAACCCTGCCTGAGTTAATGGGGAAAATTCACCAAGGAGTCGCCCCTGCTTATTACTACAAAACATCATCCAGGCATAAACTAGCTGGGGCTCACTTCTCTGGCACCCAACATTCCACGTGGGGAAATCTTGAACTCTCTGGAGCTGATAGGTACACAGACTGGCTTTAGGAAAACAGAGCATTTGAATCAAAATATATTGATGGTTCAGATCTACTCCGTGACTTTGATTTGTATTCCCATGCCCACCCGACTTTGCCAACAAGGTGTGACTGTTACCCAAGCATGTACCTAAAGTAGAGCCTCTTCCTCATCCCCACTTCTGCGGTAGCACTCTTCCTTTGAACAGATGTGAAATTTCGGCTCCCCAACCCTTCCCCTTCCTTTGTCTCTCCCTCTACATGGTTACCAAGTCCACAAGTACTAATTATACCCCCTTCTAAACATATCTCAGGCATGTCCTTTCTCATTCTCGGAGTCTCCACTTAACCCCAACCCTCTGTGTGAAAAGAAAACTGCACTCAGAATTAGTAGTCTGGGTTTATTCCAAATTCCCGAAGAACTGGCTTTGGGTCCTATGTTGTTGTTTTTAAATTTTATTTTCTTTATTTCCCCATCACCATTTATCCCCCCCTGCTTTTAAATGTAAAAATATAGCTCAGAGAATCTGAATGGATGAACCATGAGCCGCGAACCCAACTGAAACAATTAGATGGATGGATGAATGATCACTTCTTATCCAATAAATTCACTCTGTTTAATAAAATTCTGTGTGCACTTTACCCCCCTAAAGTGTTTCCATATGGCTATTTTTCCTTTCCATTCTCTGCCTCTATCCCTATTGCCATTTCCTGTTTTTGAAAGATCTTGTTTCAGCTTCCACCACGTTTCACTTTTATGCCCTGGTACCTGGCGAGTGCATGAATAAGCTCCAACATTAGAACATGGTACAGCTGGGCTTTTAGGGGAAATGGAAAGAGACAAAGCCTCTTTTTAACAAAAAGACAGTTCATCTGGCTTTTATGACTGTTGCTTTTATGTTTCATTTCTGTAGAGGACTATATAACATTCTCATATGAACAAAGTACCGGTGGCCCGGAGTGCAATCCTTGTGCAGCAGATGGAGGTAAACACCTGGCTTGTTCATCTCCGTATTTTATGAATGGACTCTAGCCTCAGGGAACTATTTCAGACTTCAAGTCTGGGTCATAACTCGGTCAATGATTTCACTGCATATAGTAACTTAAAAGCCTGAGTTTCTTCAACTACATCAACGGTCTCTAACTATAACACACCCCAAATCTCCTTTTAGACCAAATATTCTAATACCCTGGCTTACTATCTTGAAATGAAATGCACGGATACTATAGTTCATCTACACAGAAATAATACATTCATTCTCCTTCCTTCTCCACTATTCTAAAGCCTAATTAACTGAAATCTGACAACTTTTATCAAAGTTTGACCAAAGCTCACATGGCTACATCCCTTGATCTGAGCTGATGAAAGTGATTTATGCTGTTTTATCACATCTACTATGACTATTTGCTGCAGCAAAAGCAATGTGTTTGGCTACTGGGGTGCTTCCGCATCCCACTGAGACTGTTACACTTTATCAGAGATATATATACTGCATTGGCTTTCTAAAACCTGAAAACACTTGGAGCTAAGAGATTCAGAAAAGGGCTTTTGGAACCATGTAATCTACCTTCACACAAAAAACTCAATGTAACAGCCTAACCCTAGCATGAAGAAAAAAATAATACTAATTTATAAGAAACCATACACTTCATTATGTAAGCCCTTGAACCTGATATAGAAGATGTACTGCAGTGGCTTGATGCCTGAAGCAAGATACAGAACCATCCATCAACGGGTACCACAGGCACACCTGCAAACTGACAAGGCTGCCTCATGTCAACTGTGACCAACATGGTGACATCATTTTCTGAAATGATAAATAGCTTTTGACAGATTCCTAACAAACAAACAAAAAATACTAGACTCCTCTCAATTTACACATCAGTTGCGCTTTCTGGAAAATATAAACTCTATTGAAACTATATATCTCATTGTGGTTTTAATTTGCATCTCACTGATGATTAGTGACACTGAGCATGTTTTCATATGTCTATTGGCCACCGATACATCCTCTTTGGAGAAATGTCTATTCAGGTCCTTCGCGCATTTTTTAATTGGGTTGTTTGTCTTCCTGGTGTTGAGCTCTATAAGTTCTTTATATATTTTGGAAATTAACCCCTTATCAGATGCACACTTGAAACCTGTATGGTTTTGTGAACCAATGTCAACCCTATAAATTCAATTAAAAAAACACAAAATAAAAATAAAGCTGTATAAAAAGCACCTTGTATTCATGTCAAATGGAGTTGATGTCAAGGCTAAGATAATATGTAATTTGCACAGGCTACATATACATTTGTTGTGGAGGACTCTCCTACACATGGCAAGGCATCTAGAATCCCTGGATCCACCTTCATTAAATGATCACGGAGACCACTACCCAAATATTTAACAACCAAAAAAAACTCTCCCACAATTTCCAGAGTGCCTCTTAGGGGTATATGTCCCTTTGTAAGAACCACTGAACTAATTTCTCTTCATTTTCCTCCCAGACCACACTAGCCTTGGGAGGATTTGGAAAATAGATCCAATAGGGCCTGAATCCTAAGGCCACCCTAGAATTCTTAGATACCTCCATTCCCAGTAACTGTCAACTAAACAGGAGTCCAGATCTTATGACTGTTACCCACATCCATCTGTGGGCATGCATATCACCTTTATTCCTTCCACAAGACACTTATTTCATTCATTTTTCAAATGTTCATTCAGCCTATTTGATCAAGCACATGTCGTGTTAAACAGCAGGGATTCAAAACTCATTAAGCTCCTGCCCTCACATCCTCACAGTATAGTTGGACAAGCTGTATAACAGAGATGAATGAAGTATGGAGAAATATGGAGGGAGGTAGAAGTGACGCTTAGCTCAGACACAAAAGGTTAGAGAGAACTTCCGGGGAAAAAACTAATAATAGTTGCTACTATTATAATTCCCAAGAATGTTGAAGAAAAGACTTTATCCAGTAAAGACAAATAGAAATCAAAATATTGTTTGCACATTTAAAGAAAAACAAGTTCTTTTCTGAGTTTCATCCTCAGTGAAAGGAAAACTGGACAGTAGTCCGTTCATTCAAAAACATGTTTTAGAACACCTATAAATACAGATTTATTGAACACCTGTGAGTACCTATGAAATATCTTACAATTCTAAGTCACTACAGTCATTATTTTTTCCCAAGCTAGGCTATAGATTAGAAAATCTACCCAAGTATTCCTTCTCAAGAATTCTTAATATTCTTAATATGCTACATGATTTCCCCTTGCTTTCTTTATAAAAAGGGTAAATATTTTTAGAGCTACGGTTCAGAGCATGTGTATCTGAAAGTACTATTTGTCCAAAGACATATTTTTACCACTTCTATTGACTGTCTACTTAGTTAACAAATAAAACAATGTGGAGGGCAAATAAAAAAGCCAGCAGTGGTGACTTACTGTCCAATAAACAGGATTAGTTCTTTAAATAAAAATGTTCCTGCAAAAAATATTTTTGCTATTTTATAGCTATTATCATAACAGCAAGATGAAACTGAGAAGTTGCCTCTCGTACTGGGAAGATATAAAAGCATATTCCAATTTCATGGCCTATTTTGATAGTTTAGACTACTGCTTTGAATGCCCAGATATTCTTGCATTTTCATTTTATTTTCTAAATTTCATTTTCCTTAATTTTTCAGAAATCCAAATTTTTCATTTTAAATTATGCAGTCTAACAGAAAATAAGAACTTAGATACTTAGATAGTAAAATTGGAAGGGAGAAATTCACTTTAGCCTGTATTGGTAAACTTCCTACTGAAGAGTCTCCATTTTGGATGCTTCATAAACAGTAAATACAGGCCTGTCTTATTTTATTACACTTCACTTTATTGCACTTCACAGGTGTTGCAGTTTTACAAATTGAAGGTAAGACCCTCTGAGAAGATTATGACTCACTTTATCACGATACTCACTTTATCATGGTGGGTCTGGAACTGAACCTACAGTATCTCCTATAATAATGATAAAAGTTACATTTATTATTTCCCAAAAATGCTCCCCATGTTACTTCTTTTGGTCCTTAAAATAAGTCTATGAAATGTGTAGTATTGTCCCCATTTTACATATGAGAAAAGTGAGGTTCAGGGACACTAAATGCCTTACTCAAAATCATTAAGGCAGAGCTGGGATTCAAATGCAAATCTGGCTGAATCTTGTGTTCTAGATTATAGACATCATGGTATCAGAACTGAAAGGCCAACACACTGACGTTCCTGTCTCTCACATTTCTGCCATCTCCAGAAAATGCAAAAGGCTCCTTATCCTTAATACGTGCTTATTCTATGACCTGTTCTCCCCACAGCCTCTGTGCAGTAGAAAGGTTTCACTCAACCAGCTCTTAAACACCTTTTGGAATCATCATTTGGAAAAAAAATAAA